CATTATCAAAATGAATGAAAATGCAGATCTGTCAATGAAAAAAAAAGCACACCCCTTTATTTATCACCACTTCAAATCCATAAAATTAGAACTGGATGTTCCAGATCAGGTGCCAATGGTTAGGACCTCCATGGGGCTTATGAAGATGGAACATGTTTTGTTTTTTAAATGTAATCTTAATTGAGATAAAAATTGTGATAACAGACATGACATTCGTCACTTAAGATAATTCCAACATATGCTTAATAGCAAAATAGATAATAACAGAAATCAGTAAACAAGAAACATCCCAATTGCTTGGATAATACTCAGCAAATCTTGGAGTAGAGCAAGCACAAAACAAAAGAAAGACCGATAAGTACAGGGAGGGGGTCCAGTAAGTGTAGTAAAAGTGAGAAAAGGGGTCAGTGTAGTTGCTATCAATGTATGAGAACACTAAAGGACATCTAAGGCACCCAGAGAGCCAGCCACCTTTGAAGTGAGATACCACTTTGTATCTGGAACAGTAACATCAGTTCTCATAGGTGACTAGGAGATAATTCAGTCAGAAGGAATGGAGTCTAGGTAGCAAATAATTTGTCTGTATGTATGTGGTAAAATTGGGAGCCTAATCTATCCATCAGCATCAGTTTGTGAAGAAGATCCTTCAGAGATGTTAAAGAAGGGTTGGGGGGGGGGGGGGGGGTTGAGAATCTAACCTATCCATCAGCATCAGTTTGTGTAGGAGATCCTTCAGAGATGTTAAAGAAGAAGGGTATTAGCCAGTTTGTCAGTATAGCCTTTTTGGCAGCGATTAAGCATAAATGTTCCCAGCGGGAGGGAGATCTAAAGGTGGGTGGTGAGGAAGGAGCTAGTGCGTGGAATAGACAAAGGGCCAGGTTGAGAGATCTCTGAATTCCTGAAATAGTGTTCATGTATGATAGGACACCAGTCCAGAATAACTGAATAGAGGGGCAAAGCCATATTAAATTATCCAAATCAGGGGAACAGATGTTGCATTTTTGGCAAGTGGTCAGCCAATTCGATGGTGTGTTCAGCCAATTCGATGAGTGTACCGTAAATTGAAGGCATAAAATGCTCTGAATTAGTTTAAACTGGATTTCTCTCCAGGATTCGCAGATAATGGCTTTTCTAAGAGAAAGCCACCCGCGAAGGAGCAACAGGTCAGCTGGAACATGTTTTATTTAAACCTAAGACATTGAGGCTCTGGTGTTCTCTTTGGTGTTGGTGCAGTGTCATCATGCAAAGATCAAAAGAGCTCTCCAAGGCCCTAATAGAAAATGTTGTGGATGCCTATCTGTCTGGCAAAGATTTAAAAAAAAAACATGAAATGATTTGAAATCAATCATTCCACTTCATGAAAAATATGTGCAAGTGGTGTAGATTTCTAATTTCTCCAGGCTATTACTGAATTGCCAGTTCAGCCCAAGAGCTGAAGAAAGAGAAGGAATAACCCCAAAATGTCATCACAGGCTGTTCAGATATTTCTTGCAACAGCTGGGGTCATGCCTCTACAAGAGATTGCACCAATTTGCCCTCCATAAATGATGTGTCAAGAAAAAGATTTCCTGTTCAAAATGGAAATTAGAGCAAGACTAGAGTTTGCCATTGAATATATAGGCAATGACTAGACCAGGGGCGCCCACTATTTTTCGTCTGGAGATCTACTTTTCAAATGACGAGCTCATTGAGATCTACCAACGAAAAAACACCTGCATTCAGGGGCGGGAGGGGGCGTGGGCTGCGCAGGGAGGCCCCTCGCCCACAGTGCGATCGCCTGCATTAGTGCCTGTGTTACAGTCCAGTGCGATCCGCAAAAATGCTGCGAGCACTATTTTTGCAGATCGCACTGGACCGGAATGCAGGCACTAATGTGCCTGCGTTCCGAGTGCGGGCGATCGCACTGTGGGCGATGCCATTGACTTTAATACAGCTCCACACCCCCTCCTGCACCGGCACGCAGAGAGTCTGCCTGCTTACATTCCAGTGAATTCCAGTACATTACAGGTCCCGGCGTCCTGTCCTCCCGTGGTGCTCGTGTGGCCTCCCCCGCCGCCGGTTCCTTCTCTGCTTCTCGGATCCCCCTGGGGAGAGCAGCGGGGATCCAGAGAAGCGGCGGGAGGAGAGGACATGGTGATCTACCAGTGATCGCTACGCGATCGACTGGTAGATCGTGATCGACCTTGTGGGCACCCCTGGACTAGACCTTCTGGAGCAATGTGGAAAAGACTGATCATTCAAACATAGTAGGGATGCACAGATACTTTTCGAGTACCAGTGCAGATACTTGGCATTTTCATGAGAACTACCAGGGTTGCAGCGGTTGCAGCTGGGACCTGGCTCTGGCACTCCACCACTGTCCTGAAATAATTTGTCTGTATTGTTTTAGAAAAAACTGTCACATAACAATAAACAAAAATGTATCAGTACTCGTAGTTGTAAGTACTCGGCAAGTACCAGTACTTGTACTCGCAAAACTGGTATCTGTGCATCCCTTTATTTATATTTATAAAAACAAAATCGTACATTAAAACAGAGATGTGGAAATCCCAGGTGCTCCGTGTGCTCCTTACAAATGACAGCTGCCTCCTAATTTTTGAATTTTTCTCTAGTCTAGTCTTGGAGCTCAAAAGTATCGGTACATGTACTCGTACTTGTACCGAGTACTGTACTTGGTATCTGTGCAACCCTAAAACATAGAATTGTTTGGTGAAAGTAACAGTAGACATGTTTGCTATACACTGAAGCCAGCATTTCAGGAGAAGAACCTAAACCTAAAGAACTGTAAAGCATGGTAGTGGAATTGTTATGGTCTGGGGTTGCTTTGATGCTTTAGGGCCTAGGAAGTTTGCAGTCATTGAGTCAATTATACATCCTGCATCATATCAAAGCATGCTTGATAATGTGAGGCCATATCCCAAAAGCGGAAACAGAAATGGGTCTTTCAACGCGATAATGATCTGAAGCACACAACAAGTCCACCAAGAAATGGCTCAAAAAGAAGAGATAGATGGATATGGACTGCCCTAATCAAAGCCATGATTTGATCCCAATTGAAATTGTATAAAGGGGATTTTCAACTGGGCAGTTCTTACAAGGCAAACTATAAAACAGTTTGCAAATTAAAGCCCAACTCCAGGGAAATTAAAAGTTTTCCCTTGCAGTGGGGCCGTTCTCACACTGCAAGTGTTAACTGCCTGTGTATGCCTAGGAGACAGGAAAAAAAGCAGTTTTACTTACTCGATCCACACTCCTGTCGGCTCCCTCCATGCTGCTAGACGCAGCCTACTCTCCCCTTCCTTCCAGTAGTCTGAGGACTGCTGATGTCACCAAGTACAATGCAGACTCCATAGTCCTGAATTGTATGTGAGGACACCGAAGGACAGTGCACAGCTGAGATGAGAAGGAATAAAAAGGAATCAGGTAAGTAAAACTGTTTTTTCCTGCTCCCTATGCATTAAGGAGAAGTTAACCCCTGCAGTGCAGGAGCAGCCCCACTGCAAGGGAAAACTTTAAATTTTACTGAAGTTGAGCTTTAAGTGATTTTGCACAGATAATTGGTCAACAATGTCACTAAGTCGATTACAGAAATTGATAGGCAGTTGAAATGCTTACAAGAATTCATTTCTGCTAAGTGGGGGCAATACCAGCTTCTGATGCCAAAGGTTATGTACTTTTTCCACAGTACACCATTACATCTATTGATATTTTTGTTGAATAAATAATTGAAAAGCATTTTTGAAAAGTTTCAAAATATATGTAGATATACATACAAGGGTCAGTTTGGTTGGTAATCAGTTAACAGACTTGTATTTATTTTCTTTCAGGGAGGAAACAGGAGCACCTGGAGACAAACCTCAGTAAAGCCAAGAGATATGTCAAAGTTAGTGCATACAGAGACCTTTTTTAGGAGTTGAGCTCAGGACTTCAGTGTTCCATTGCCACAATAAAAAACAATTACCTTTCTGCTTCACAAAGTGTCTGTTCATGCTTTACAGATGTAAAGTCACCAATAATTAAAAAAAAAAAACATGTGTGAACAGAATTCTTATTTTACAGCTCTTTGTGTTGTTAAATTGCACTGTACTTTACAAATACTTTTTTTTTTAATTATGTGATTTGTATTAGTTTTAAAATTAAATACAAATGGACTATTTTGCATCATTAGCATTTAACATACATTGACCTGACATTTTTCATAACTATTATGATATATAATATACAAATGCTCATTAGGATACATTTTCTTGGTTATATATAATTAGGTTACAGATCTTCCATTACTGTTATTGATATTTATTCAAGAATTAATGTTGTATTATGTTTTATGTATATTTATTAGACTGATATGCAAGATACACCCTAAATTGTGCAATATATTATCCGTTTAAAAGATTTTTGTGTTTGCAATAGAATTTGTGTACAGTTGTAGGTAACTGATTGTTGAACCTATTTTAAACTAGCAAAAGCGTACAATTGTGCTCTCCAATTTTCATGTTACATAGTGTATCATTGTAAAATAACTAATAACACACTACAGTTAAATAATTGTAACAATACAGCTTTCAATTAATTAATTTTTATAGTATAATTGTTTGAATGTTTTATGCCCAGAGTTCATCTAAGTTTTACTATTTGTTTCACTGATAGGTGTGAGTTCTCCCATGTAGAAAACTAAAAGCCAAAAGATTTTGTCGTCTTCATCGTTATTTGTAATTGCAAGGTAATTTTGTAAAACATAGCTGAAGTTAACTAATTTACTTTATAGGTTGGCTGTTAAAAAATGTAAACTAATAATAGAACAAACTGATCATTATTTTATCTTGCAGGTGCTGATAAAAAGAAAATTAGTTGGAATAAACAGTTTTGTAATACTTGTGCATAATAATAAATACAGATAAAATGTAACAATAATCAGGGCTGAGTCTGTTAGTATGGTAACTATGTTAAAAAAATAAGCAAGCATTGTCTAGCGTTATAACAGGCTTTTTAAATGGAACCTCTTACCTTGGCTTTTGGTGTTGAATGGCAGAAATGGTGGTGGTCCCTTTACACTGGACTGCTTTGGATGCCTCTCAGGAAAATAGCCAGACATGAAGACAAAATTTGGAGAAACCAGGAACAAGATGATGCTGGTGTGTAAATACATGCTGCCAGGACTTTTCTGCATTGAAAAATAATATCACTTACATTCCATTCCACAATGCAATATGATTTGTCTTTATACTTTCTAAATGTTAAAATATTACTTGCATTTCGATTTTCAGATAATGGCAGTTAAAAGTTTCAGCACTCTGTAGAGGTCAAACATCCATCCATACATAGTCACTACATTCCAGTACAGCTTTGATATTTCACCTCCTGTGTGGTGTTTTGAAAATGATCAAGTATGCCTGAATCAAGCATATAAAAAAAAATGAGTCTATTTCTGTTCTGCAATTTCACTGCTGTTCAGACCAATAACTGACAGTTCCCTGAAGCATGTTTTATAAGTTCTGACATAACTAGGAAAAAAATCTAGAGAGAGAGAGAGAGAGAGAAAAAAGTCACATAAAAACATAGTAAGCAATATAAAATTACCTAGGTTTACAAGTTGCTGTCATCAGCATAGAATGTACTCTGCTGCTGTCTGCTTTTGATTCCTGGTCATCAGATGGAATTTTCTCACGTTCAAGAACCTGCCACATTTAAATGTTAGAATACCTTAAATGTTAAGGTAGTAGCTGTAGGAGCCAAAGATACACTAGTCTGATTTTTTTCAATTTTAGTCATAAATTATAGAACCATTTATTTATACCATTATGCAAATATAACAATGTGCCTGAGACATTCTCCTCCCTCTGAATGGGAAGCACTAATTATACAAAAACTTACTGAATGCAGGAATGTTTGGCTAGTCCAGGTTTCTACCATTGTTGTGGTATTACTCATGTTTGGTTGGGAAGTTAGTTTATCATTGGTAATCAAAGGTGTATTGGCCAGGAAAAAAAGACTAATCTGTAAAATCTGCTCTGTTCAAAATGTCAGTAATATTTGCAATACACAATGAAAAGCCTATTTATCACAAACTTCTAAATGCCATTTAATTGGCTTGACTGTAGTACATAATTTTTACTATAAGGCAGTGGAGGACTGGCAAGTTGTACCCAGGCATACAAGTATAAATAAAAGGGTTGATTTCTAGACATGTGCACTGCCAAAAAATTTGTTTAGTTTCATTTCGCTTTAAATTCGGATATGTGTTATTTCGTTTTTCGGGATTCAGGTGTGAAAGTCAATTCGGACGAAATTCGTTACCGGTAGTTCGTTCGAACGTTCGTTTCGTTTTCGTTTCTTATTCGTTTCGTCCATTCGTTCGTTCGTTTGCAGCAAAGTGACATTTGAGGGGGAAAATGTTTTTCTCCTCTAATGTCACTTTGCTCCAATGAACGTAACGAATAAGAAACAAAAACGAAACGAACGTTCGAACGAACTACGGCTACCGAATTTCGGAAACGGAAATCCGTATTCGTTTGCATTTGTTATATCTGTAATTCGGAATTCGGATACATCCGAATGTCCGAATTTCCGAAAATTCGTCCGAATTTTGATTCGGAACGAAACGAATCGCACATGTCTATTGATTTCCTTAAGGGAAATAGGCTGTTAGCTTTGTAAGGGAATGTTCCCCTAGCTTAGTGAATGTGGTGAAAATCCAGTTTACAAAGAATAACCAATCGCAAGAAAAAAAACCAAAAAAGCCAAACAGTATTTATGCTTGTATTTGATTGGATAACACTCAGCAGCCTTATTCACTAAGCTAAGTAAAAATATCTTTGTAACGTGAAAACTCCCTTGCATAGTGAACTGCCTTTTTACCTTTAGTAAATGTCTTTGGTGCCAAGTTAGTTTTCCATGTTGTATGCTGTTTGGTAGTCACAGAAATGTGTTCATCGTCACAATGCAAGTTTGACTATTTACTCTAATGCATCACCAGGGATTTCCTGATTGCCCACATTATGTTCCTGAATGTCCATAATAATGCATATGTACATATATGGTGCTGTCTAATGTCTATATACAGACATCCTGTGCTGTATGTCTGTAAAAATATAACACAATGTTGTAAAAATATGACACAATGCATAGCCACGGTTAATATTTATATTAATGTGAAGTGAGAAGTCACATAGTTAATTCTCCTTAAGCCATTATCTTTGGTTTTTAGTATAGCAGGTTATTATACTGACATTGTGTGGTCGTTTTGGTTATTGCAACATGTTTTTCTGTGTTTCCTCCCATTTATTATGTATTTCCCCTTTCTTCATGACTTGCCGTTTCTGGCATCAAAATGGTTGGCTGTAACATGGCCACATATTATTCTGCATGCATGCTTAGAAACATTACCATCTCTGACCTTCAAATACCACCTGTTCATTGATCTGATGTATCCTGTTGTCTGCTGTAACCTGCTGCATGTAAAAAAAACACCTTTGTGGATGGAAAAGGTATTTGGTGAGTTCAGCTACCTGATAAGGATTGTCTGCGGTGATTATATCTGCTTATTCAGGACAGGCATAGAAGTCTCAGCAAGAGATAAATTGCTAACAGAATACATACTTTCTACAATATATGAGCATATTGCTATATATTAAACTACATAAATAATAATCATAATAATAGCTAATAATAGATTAATTATATTAATATGTTAACTCTTAATATTAATAATTGCTTTATATTAAACTATATAAATCATAAATAGTAATTTAATAATAACATTTTTTGGGGGGGCAGATTTTGGAGCGTTTTTAAGGCAGAAAAAGCGCTACAAAACGCTCAGTGTGAACCAGGCCTAATATACGTTTCAAAGGATACACCTCAAAAGTCTGAGGAAGTAGGTATATCTTCTGAAGCCAAATTGCACTGTTTTTTGAAGAAGCAATGGTCTCTCTACAGAGATCCAACACACCCCTTGCTGAGTCAGACCTATAGCTCTGCAATCTGCAAAGCTCGTACTCCCTGCTAGTAGGAGCGCTCTAGCTCTGACTGGCATGTTGGACCTCTCCAGAGAGACCACTGCTTTCACACATAGAGAGCAAGCATGCTAACAGATGATAAACATTTCTACTCAGGCTGTGGCTGCTTTCTAAAGAAAACAAATGGTAATACTTTGAGCACCATTTGTTTTGATGCTCCGGAAATGTATTCAGCTAATTTAAACTGAAAATTCGATTGGGCTTTAAAGACAATAATGGATAATGGATATTACATTTACTATTAGATTTCAGACAGCTACTTTAGCAGTTGATGCAGCTGAACAGAACCACGTGGTAATTGCGCTGCTGTATTTTCTAACATTCATAAACTGAGGGGTGGATGCAACGGGTTTGTCAAAGACTACCCATGCAAATTATGCAGGATTTGCTAATGTATACCTATTTCACTTGTAAAATACATGTATATGAGAAAAGAAGGTACAAAAAGCAGAGGGGCATGAGCGGGGAAAGGATTGTGCAGCTCTTTTTATTAATCTCTCCAGTTGGTATTTTTACAAGGTCAGATCCTTTTGTATTGTAAAACAGAATCATAGATCCCAGGAGCATTACACATTGGTTTTGGGTTGCTTACTAGTAATGTCCCAATTCCAGTGTTCCTGCAAATTATTCACTATATAGCCTGATGTAAACTGAACTCAGAAGAGTAAAATGGTGGTCATATATACCTGCTCTTAGATGGAGCTACCTGTAAACATTTAATATGTTGCTAATTTTCTCCGATTTCTAGGGGCATGCTTTTACTCCATATCAGCTTTCATTTCTCATAGCCTCATAGCCTCTTAACATACAATATTTCAGGCCTTGAAAGTAAGTATTTAGAAATAGGTCTGCATTCAAATTACAGGTACATTACTTATGTATCAGTTTTAAAAAGATGCATGCTCAGGTCCACAGAGTTGGCATTATGTAGGTTAAATTTAGTACAACTACCTTAGTGGGAAGCATTTGGAAGGAACCTAATGTGTTTCAAAAGTCTGCATTTTTTTAAATAAGTTAAGGTAGCCAATAAATGGTATAATTTAAACTCCAATTTTCCACATTTTCCACATTGTTAATGAACAACATGGTATAGGACTGCACTACTACTAGCTTAGTAGTATAGTGTCCCTGGAAATTAAAGTGTACAGTAGAGAAGGATTGGGGCCTTTGCCAGTTTTTATTGCTGTCTGTGTCTCTGCTGGAGAGATTCAGATTCAGAGATTTAGTATTCATAATAGTGATTATTGTCCCTGGGACAGAAGGTGAGAAAAAAAATCCAACATTTTGACATGTAACCAGCACAGGAATATTGGAATCTTCCAATGGAGACAGTTGCAGCACCATCTATCTATGAGAAGATTTCCCTCATTTTGGAAGGGTTTATTCTTGCTTCCTGTTGTATCTATTGGACAGGAAGTTAAATAAATCTCCCAAATAGGACATAGATGGCAAAAAAAAACTTTGATTTTTTTTTTTCTACTGTATCCACACAGAAACAAATTTTTGGCTTTAGACATGCATTTTGATAGCTGTGATTTTATAGCATCCTGTAACCAATACAGTTTACTTGCCATGGAAGCTGGCCTAATAATTGTGCTTTCATAAGAAAGGGCAATCTTTTTTAGAGAGTTACTGGATGTTAACATATGTGGTTCTGGGTTGGAAGAGGCTGGGAAGCAATGTCATAGATAAGTCCCAAGGAAATGTTGATATCTCTAATAGAAGAAATAGCACACATATTTATGTGTGTATGTAGTTTATTTCCATTGTTAAGCTTAATTTCTGACCACTGAAATATTTATTTATGTAGATAGTATTTTTACGGTGACTAAAAAAAGTGCCTTTTCATTTTCCTTTAAAAAAAGTCACAAATATTTTGGAAATAAGAGAACTTTAACTTTTAATGCAAATGTTAACCAAGCGCTACTGTACAAGGACACATCAGTGGGTGGCCTTCTATTATGGGAAAGTGAGCACTTTCCTGCTCTGTGTCTTGTGTGTGGGCTATTTTCTTTATTTCTAATAGAATCTGTGCTCGAGAGGCCACCCACTAAAGCCCTTTTGTTTCTTTAACTCATATTATGACCCATATATTGCATAACTGTCTATAGCCCATTGTTATTTCTGAAACAAAAGCCATGCTATTAAGTAGTGTATGGATGGTGATGGTGAGTGTACAGATACCTAAAGATTACTTACTTGTAAATGCCCATTGTTATTTCTGAAACAAAAGCCATGCTATTAAGTAGTGTATGGAT